CAATGGGAAAAATATTTATATTTTTCATGCAGATATGGAAAAACCTATAGAAATAGTAGGGTTAAAATACGGGAGAGTGGAGATAATCAGGAAGGCAAAGTCCCTAAGAAGAAGCAAACACTGAATTAAAAGGAGACATAAAGTTTTAAAATAATAGTTGGAGACTTCAAACACCACACTCAATAACAAACAGAACATCTAGACTCAAGATCATAAAGAAATAGAGAACCTGAACAATGCCATAAATCAACTAGACCTATCAGGCATATACAAAATACTGCATCAAACAACAGCATAAAATATATTCTCCTAAAATAAGTTGCAATTAACTTTAAAAGATTGAAATCACATGAAATATCTTCACTGACAATGGATGAAGCTAGGAATCAATACCAGAAGGAAAACTGGAAAACCAACAAATATGTGGAAATAAAACAACACGCTCTTAAACAATCAACGAGTCAAAGAAGAAATCTCAAGGAAATCAGAAAGTACTCAGAAATGAATGAAAACAAAAACACAACATACCAAAACCTACGGGATGCAGCAAAGGCAGTGATCAGAGAGAAGTTTATAGCTGTAAATACCTACATTAAAAAATGAGAAGATCTCAAATCAATTATCTAACTTTACACTTTGAGGAGTGATGAAAAAAGCAAACTAAACTCATGACTAGCAGAAGGAAGGAAACAATAAAGATTAGAGATAAACAAAATAGAAAATGGAAAAATAGTAGAGAGAATCAATAAAACCAAAAGTTAGTTCTTCAAAAAGTTCAAGAAAATTGATAATTCTTTAGCTAGACTGTCAAAAAAGGAGACACAAATGACTAAAATAAGACATGAAAGTGGGAACATTATTACCAACCACATAGAAATTTTAAAAGATTAAAAGAGAACACTATGAATATTTGTACACCAACAAATTAGATAATCTAAGTGAAATAAACAATTTCCTACAAACATACAAATTACCTAAAGTGACTCAAAAAGGAATAGAAAATCTCAACAGTCCCCTAAATAGTAAACAGATTGAATCAGTAATAAAAAAACTTCCCAAAAAAGAGAATTCCAGGACCAGATGGTTTCATTAGAGAATTCTAACAAATGTATAAAGAAGAATTAACACAAACCCTTATCAAACTCAAAAAATAGGAATACATTTCTTAACCAATTCTATGGAACCAGCATTACCCTGATACCAATGCCAGATGAAGATATCACAAGGAATGAATATTATAGACAAATAACCCTTATGAATAAGGATGTAAAAATTGTCAACAAAATACTAGCATACCAAATCCAACAGCATATTAAAAGGATTATACACCACGACCAAGTGTGATTTATCCAAGAAATTCAAGGGCGGTCAACATAAGTATGTCAATTCATGTAATATTCCACTTGAACAGAACAAAATAATCTCCATATGATCATCTCCACTGATGGAAAAAGAGCATTTGATAAAATCCAATACCCTCTCATGATAAAAAAAGTTTGTAAAATTAGGTATAGAAAGGAATTTCCTTAACATGTTAAAAGACATTTATGAAAAACTCACAGCTAATATCATATTCAATAGTAAAAGACTGAAAGCTTTCACTGGGAAGATCGGGAACAAGACAACATGTCTACTGTCACCACCGCTATCCAACACTGTGGTGGAAGTTATAAGCAGAGCAATTAGACAGGAAAAAAGAAATAAATGATATCCAAATAGTAACAAAAGAAGGAAAATTATTTCTACTTGTAGATGACATGATCCCATACATAGAAATTCCAAAAAAATCTACCAAAAGCTGCTAGAGTTAATAAATAAATTCAGCAAACTTGCAGCTTAAAAAATCAACACACAAATATCGGTTATGTTTTTATATACCAGCAATGAACAATATCAAAAGGAAAGTAAGAAAACAATTCCATTTACAATAATATATAAAAGCATGAAATATCTAAGAATAAATTTAAATAAGGAGATGAATGATTTATATACTTAAAACTATAAAATATGGCTAAAAGAAATTAAAGACCTAAATACATGGAAAGGTATTCTGTGTTCATGGATTAGAAACTTAGTATCATCAAAATGGCAATACCTCCAAAGCAATCTACAGATTCAATGCAATCTCTATCAAAATCCCAATGACTTTTTTGGTGTAAGTGGAAAAGGTGATTCTAAAATTTACATGGAACAGAAAGTGATTCAGAATAACAAAAACAATGTTAAAGCAAAAGAACAAAGTTGGAGCACTTATACTTCCTGATTTCAAAACTTACTACAAGGCTACTTTAATCAAAGCACTACAGTACTTGATGAGACATAGAGGACTAGTTTCATTCCTCTACATATGGATATCCAGCTTTCCCAGCACGACTCAAAATAGATTGTACACTTAAGTGTAACTGTGAATCTACTAGAAGAAAACATGAGGGAAACACTTTAGGACATTGGTCTGGGAAAAACTTTTATGGATAAGGCCTCAAAGACACAGACAACCAAAGAAAAAATAGGCAAATGGAATTATATCAAACTAAAAAGCTTTTGCACAGCAAAGGACACAGTCAACAGAGTGAAGAGAAAACATGCAGAATGGAAGAAAATATTTGCAAACTCTTCATCTAACGAATTAATATCCAGAATATACAATCATGTTTTGCTTAACAACAGGGATACTTTCTCAGAAATGCATTGTTAGGCAGTTTCATTATTGTGAGAATATCATAGAGTGTACTTACACAAACCTAGATTGTATAGCCTGTTACATACCTAGGCTATGTAGTACAGCCTATTGCTTCTAGGATACAAACTTGTCAGCATGTGACTATACTGAATACTGTAGGCAACTGTAACACAATGGTAAATATTTGTGTATCTAAACATATAAAAGGTACAGTAAAAATACAGTAAATATAATCTTAAGGGGCCACCCTCATATATGCAGTCCATCATTGACTGAAACATTGTTATGCAGCACATGACTGTACAAGGAACTCAAACAACTCAACAGCAAAAGAACCAAATAATCTGACTTAAAAATGGCCAAATATCTCAATAGACATACCTCAAGAGAAGATATACAAATGGCCAAAAACTACATTAAAAAAATCCTCAACATCACTAATCATCAGAAAAATGCAAATCAAAACCACAATGAAATATCATCTCACCCTAGTGAGATATCATCTCACCCTAGTTAACAAATGCTTGGAGAGGATATAAATAAAAGGGAACTCTTACATACTGTTGAGAGGAATGTAACTTCTGCCATTATGGAAAACAGTATGGAGATTCCTCAAAAAATTAAAAACAGAACTACCATATGGTCCAGCAATGCCTCTTCTGGGTATATATCCAAAGGAAAAGAAATCAGCATGCCAAAGAGGTATCTGTACTCCCGTGTTTACTGCAGCACTATTCACAACAGCCAGGGTATAGAATCAACCTAAGTGTTCATCAATAGATGAGTGGATAAAGAAAATGTGGTATACATACATAATGGAACAATATTTAACTATAAAAAAAGAATATTATTTTCTTATTTGTGGCAACATGGTTGAGCCTAGAGGACATTATGTTACGTGAAATAATCCAAGAACAGAAAGATAAATACCACATATTCTTATTCATATGTAGAAGCTAAAAAAAAGCTGTTTCATAGTATAGATTAGAATAGTGGTTACTAAAGGCTGGGAAGGGGAGGGATGAGGGAGGGATAGAAGGAAGAAGTTCTAGTGCTCTATAGCACTGTAGGGTGACTACGGTTAGCAATAATTTAGTTTGTATTTTCAAATGGCTAGAAAAGAGGATTTTGAATATTCCCAAAACAAAGAAATGATAAATGTTTGAGGTGACAGATATACTAATTACTCCGATTTGATCATTACACATTGTATCAATGAACTAAAATATCACACTATACCTACATATAATTATTATGTGTCAATTAAAAATTTTAAAAATACTGAAGTACTGGCATAAAGACAGAGACAAATGGAATAGAACTGAGAGTCCAGAAATAAACTCACGAGTCCAAACCCAATTCATTTTGACAATAGTATCAAGTCCATTCAATGGGGAAAGAAAAAGATTCTTCAACAAATGGTGCTGGGACAACTGGATTTCCATATGCAAAAGAATAAAGTTGGACCCCTTCTGCATACCATATATAAAAGCTAATTCGAAATGGATCAACAGCCTAAACATAAGTCAAAACTATAAAACTCTTAGAAGAAAATAGGGGTAAATCTCTTCCTGACTTTGAATTTAGCACTCAATTCTTAAATATGACACCAAAAGCACCAGTAACAAAAGAAAAAAACAGATGAATTGGACTTCATTGAAACTAAAAACTTTTGCACATCAAAACACAACATTAAAAGTGAACAACCTACAGAATAGAAGAATATATTTGCAAATCATAGAGCTAATAAGGGGTTTGTATCCAGAATGTGTGAAAAAAAACCTCCTACAATATAACAATAAAAAAACAAACAACCCAATTAAAAAATGGGCAAACATTTTGAATATACTTACTCCAAAGAAGATATGCAAATGGGCAAGAAGTACACAAAAAGATGCTCAACATCATAAGTCATTAGAGCAATTCAAATTAAAACTACTTCAAACCTACTAGGACAGATACTTTAAAAATAATGGAAAATCACAACTGTTGACAAGAAGTGGATAAATTGAAACCCTTGTGGGTTGTTGATGGGAATGTAAAATGGCACAGTCACTGTGGAAAACAATTTGGCAATTCCTCAAAAAGCTAAACATACCATATGGCCAAGCAATTCTACTTCTAGGAATATACTCAAAAGCATTGAAATCAGGGACTCAAATAGATACTTGTACTATAGTGTTCACTGCAGAATTATTTATAATAGCCAAATGATAGAAACAACCTAAGTGTCTATCAACAGATGACACCCTAGGAACAATCTGAGAAAGGAGAGACCATCAACTTCTTGCTTTGACACAAATACACACTCCACACTCACCCTTCTCTTTAGCTGATGTTGGAAAATTCCATAGCCATCAACTGATTAAGTATGTGCTCCACAGGGCATTTGAGACACAATTATTTCCAAAGGATCTGGTCCGATTGTATTGTGAAGATCTCCAACACTGAGAACAGTACCCACAGCTGGTATTACAGGCTAGGGAAGTTCTGTGGATTAAAAAATAAGTTATAAAGAACTTCAAAAATCATCTAAATTAAAGCTGCACATTGCAAAAACCTACCGTTGTTTTTTTCTCTCTCTTAATGCACAAGGTGTAGCCGATTGTCCTTCATTTTAATTCCTAGATGTAGGAAAGACAGGTTCATGCCTAACTTTAATAGAAATTAACTAGGGATAACTGTTAAAACTAGAGGTACATTACACCATATTGAGATTTTCCAGTTTAGGCCTTCCCCTAAATGTGTAACAAGTTAGGAGAGAGAGGAAGATCAACAGAAAGACCAGCATTTGTACCCTCATACAAATATTGATATTTCTAAATTCTGGGCAGTAAATTAACAGCAAAGAAGGTAGGAGTAGGAGTAGAAGTGACCCCAGATCCCAATCTATACTATGTCATTCTATACACAAACCCCTACCTACGACATAGATTTGGTTAAGTATAAAAAGGACCAGCTGAGGTAGTACAGACAACATGGCTCCAGCTCTGTAAACTATGTAAATAGATAGAATAGTAGGATTGTGAGAATTAATTTCTCCCTAAAGGGAAGAAATTACACATTCCTAAAGGACTTTGGTATCCTGTGGCTGAGTCATACATAGAGCTGAGCTCTGACCCAAAAGGATTAGCACAAACAAGGGGCTGCCACCAAGGACAGTTACAAATCACCAAGTCCAGGAAACAAAAAGAGAAAAAAAAAAGCAAGGATGAAAGATGAAAGTCAATAGTCACCAAGGCAGGGCAGATGAGACTATGAAGAAGTTTCTTCAGATGATCCCCAGAAAGACCCTCCTCCGAGGCCCAGAACTGCAGGGCAAGGGAATCTAAGATGAAGCAGTAAACTTGGTATCCTTGCATAGGGAAGGAGCTATTGAGGGCACAGTGAGATTGGGTCCCTTTCAGAACCACACTTCCCACGCAGCTGTCCATGGCTTTCCTGAATCAAGGTGAGAACCAGGAATCCTCTTGGGGGTTAAAAAGCTTCAAGGCATCCCGATGAGACATCCTATATGAAAGGCTGAACACAAATTCTGAGACTCAGACTGGAATGAAAGCATCTGTGTTCCCTTCCTCCTGAGCTGCCTCCTTACTTCCTTCCCCAGAGCTGCCCATACAGTGCTCCTTTTCTCACTTGAAGCCCTATCAGTCAGAAGCTACAGACAGCTAGTAGCATAGTCCTATCTTCTTGCATACAAATCTTCTCCTTGAACATGTTGAAACAAAAGAATCTGTCAATGTGAACTTATTTTGTTTGTGCCCCTCTACAGACACACAGACACAGACAGGGCTCCTCACCATCTTTATGTTGTTTGTGCTTTTATCCCACTGACTAGACTTCAACTGAATAACTAGGACAATGTTTTCACCAGTTTTAGCATGTAACTTTATTAACATGTAAATAGAATCTCAAAAGAATACATTTATATCAATATAAAGCATAGAAGTATAGCTTACTCAGGATATAGGTTCATTATCGGGTCACATTGCAGGAATACTAAAAATATCTCAATTTTTATTATATAGCGCAATAAAAATCAACAAACGTTCAAGCTCTCAAGATTAATTGGTGTCCATAAAATTGCCTCCCTCAATCAACACAGAGAACATAAGCATAGAATTTATAATTATAATATACATTGGTTTCATACTGCAACACCAAAAAACTGTTCAAGGTTTTATGAGAACAGATATGTACTCAGAGCTTGAGTATTAATCGTATGACTTTATCTCTCACCTCAGGATCACTGTGCTCTGCTAAGTCTTGGAGTTTTTGACCAAACTCTTTTGCTTCCTGGAATATGGAAATAAGTTCAGATTTAGTGAACTTTTCCTTGGTAAATAGCTTCCCCCTTTTTTTGAATTGGAAATTTATATTCTCAAATATTTCAATGATATTAAGAATATTGGCCTTTGACTCATTCTTGTTAAAGGGAGCAACCAATGATGACAGTACTTCGGCACTGATCAGTTCTCTTGTATTGGCTTGATTTTTAGACAAGCACAAAAACACTTTTAAAACATAAAACTTGATTTTGACACTTCCCTTATTTAACAAGGTGAGGAAATCTGGAATGTAATTGGCAATCACGTGGTGATCCTCGAAATTCACACTCAGGTGTGCTAGTAATTTTAGTTCAGCCAATTGCAAAGGAGAGTTCAAGGGATAAGACATTACATCCTTACAAACTTGATGTATGTATGACTCTCCTACTTTTGGTTCTTCAGGAGACTCAGAGCTATCATCCACCATACTTAAAGCTCTAGGGTGTTCTTTAATGTTGGGATTTTTGACCAAGTTTTCAATCATAACAGTAATACCTACATCATGAATTATATCTTGGGTAAATGGATAAGCAGGACTGATGCCCATTGTCATTGTAGCTATTTCATGAATGAAAGGATCCCTAGTTAACTTAAGTAGGGCAACAAGTTTATCAAACTCTTCAGGCTCTAAACTAAAGCCACGTGATTTGCAGCGGCAGGCCTTTGGATTAGGCCCATACTTTTCCCTTTGCCTAATCTGTTTTTTGATCTCAGCTAAGGTCTGAAAGTAAGGCCCACCATAAGGTGGAATCTTGGTCAGAGGCCGAATCCCCAAAGGAGTTTCAATCAAGGTGTCAATCAGGGTCCAGTCCCCTTCTGGAGGCAAGGACTGCTCCTCTCCCTCAACTGGGACTAGGACAATATACCTGGCCCTTAACCATGCCTTTGCCTTTTGTTTTGTAGTAAGTTTGGGTGTCGGGGGGGACTTGGGCATTTCCTGTATCTTAGGTAGGGGCTTATAAACTTGAGGAGGGGTCTCTTCTTCAGGCCAGAACCAGGACCCTACACTAGGTTCTTCTCCAGACCAGAACCAAGAGCAAACATTTTCTTCATCTTCATCACTGGATTTGATCCCAATGCCAGCTTCATCCCCAGCCCTGGCCCTGATGCTGGCCTCTTCCTTTGTCTCAGGTCTGGACCCAACATTGGCCTTGTCATCAACCTTGGCACAGGACCTGATATTTGTCTCACTGCCAGTACCAACCCTGACTTCAATGGTTACAGCACTGACCCGAGACACAGGCATTGCCTTTGACTTGGTTTGGGGCACTTGGTTCAGGGCACTTGCCAGGGCTTTTGTCTTAGTCTCATCCATGACTCTAGTCTTAGTCATATCTTCCATGTTGCTCACTTCCCTTGTCTTAGCCACAGCCTCAGTGTAGGTCATTGCCTGTGTCCTGGCTATTGCTCCATCACCAGCCTTGACCTGGGTCACCAATTCTGTTTTTGGTTCTGCCTCAGCCACTGCCTTGGCCTGGGTCTCAGCCTTCACTCTAGCATTGTCAGAGCCACTTATTCCAGCTTTCAGGCCAGCCTCAGCCTCTCCTCTAGTTTTTGCCTTAGTCCCAGAGCCAGCCATGGTCCAAGTTTAAGGTAGGGCCAAGTTTTGTACCCCCACCCCTGTCTCAGCCTTGACTGAAGGTCTGTCCCAGGTTGGTGTTTCCATACAAAGTCCAGTAGTCACTCAGTCCCCTTTCCAACTACAGGCTCTGCCAGTGATACAGAAAACATGCAGAGGAAGTTCACTCAAGGTGGGGAAGGATGGCTGTGCCTGGGCGCAGCCTGTGGAGGGTGGTGGTCTTCAGCCACTCCAAGGCCACCAGATCTGCCACTGAAGTTGGACCTAGGGGTGGAGGAAGGAAATGGGGCTTTGAGTCTCTTCCAATTTTTTCTCTTTATTCTGATTAGCACAGAGAGACAGGAGAGTATGGAGATTCAGTGCTAGGTGGGAGAGGTAGATTATTAGCAAACTCTCTCTCCCTTCATTTTACCCGTTCCCTACACCTCCAAGTGCTACCAATCTCCTTTCCAGGCACCACAAAAGAGCATGACAAGTTGTAAAGCTGGGTGAGAGAGGCTGAGGAACCCCTAGACTGGCTCTTGACCCCTGCTGGAGCCAAGCAGACCTCCACTATCTACTCCTACAGGTCTACCCAGACAGTCCCCACACTCATACCAACCTGCGCTTATCTGGAGTGATTTTCTCCTCCTCTCCTTGATTCCAATGGTGATAAGCCCTACAGCAGACCTATGGACAAATAAACAAATTGGAGAATATGGAAACTGATCTCTTGGTAGACAGACTTTGGTCCCTGGCCCCTATTCTTGCCTTTCCAGATACAGTTTGTCTAGTGTTTTTGTCCTCCTGGTCTCTTCCCCCTATTGTCCTGCTTCAGGGCTGCTCTTCCTCCTTCCTATTGCCCACCACTTTCCTCTTCAGCTATTGCCCTGGCATTTCCCTAGTTTAGAAATAGACTAGGGTGAAGAAAGAGATCAGGACAAGCAAGTAGGGAGTGGGAAAAGCTTACCAAGCCTCCCAACTAAATCAACAGTGATGGTAAGAGCAGACAGTCATTATTGGTAAGCTGAAAAAACAGAAGAGATGGAATTCTCTAGTCTCAGTCACCCCCTGTCTCTGTACCCTCACACCAAGCTTAACAGACACAGGACAATTTTCTCTTCTTCATTGTTTCCAGCTTCAAGTTGGAGGTACCATTTTATGAACCTTCACTAGTGACAGTTCCATAGACCTAGGGACAGAACTACCCACAGAGAATCACCAACACAGAGACCAATAAATGGAGATACAGCAAAGTGGAGACTGAGTCCTTCATAGAGGCCAGATAGGGCCATAGGGCCATAGGGCACAGATCCTTTCTCGATACAGATACGTGTTTGGCAAACATTTCTACCTCTCTTCTTCACCTACTCCTAAGTCTCCAAGTCCCTCTGCTCTATTCGCAAAGTCTGACAATTCCCATACAGAGGTACCTCAAACACCCCTACAAGGTGGTAGTAGTGTTAGCAGGGATGAAATGTCCAAACCACAGAGGTTGGGAAAACAATGAAAAGTATTATTTGCAAATTTCATCTAGGTTCTTATGTTTCCTTCCTCTCCTGCAAAGCCTATCATTTTCTGCAACATAATGGGTGTAAGGGAGCTGGGGTTTGCAAAAGTAGCAGGGAGAAGATCTGAAGGCTTCCCTACCCTTACCAGTTCTAGTCTTAGCCATCTACCTACCACCTCCAAGCACTGTCCTCTCTACAAAACCAGGCTAATTTTCTTTTTCTTCTCCTTCCCCTTGAGGTCTGCTGCCCCCTGCAGATCATTAGAGAAATATGCAGTACTGCAAACTTAGGAACAGATCTATATATATATAAATGAATGACACACAGCCAAATACCAAATGAAAAGACAGTGGGAGAGACGTGGTTATTAGTTTTCAGACCAGTAACCAGGCCATGTGACCCTTTTCGAATATAGGGCCTTGATTATCAAACATTAACGACCTCTTTTTACACGCTGTCCCTCTCAGGGCTCCCCAGACAACTGTATGAGCAATAGAGGCAGCCCCTTTTCCTCTTATATTCTCCGCCATTTCCCTGCTAGAAGGCGCTACTATATCCTTTTCCCTTTCCACACATGGTCGGAAGCAGGGCGAGTGTCTGGAAATCAAGCTAGCAAGCAGCTCACTTTCTATTGTTGAATGTAACTCAAATTACCCCTGCCTCTCCCTGTCGCCCGCCTCCCACAACTAGATCGCATATCCCGCATTCACCTCCGAGACCCACATCCACACCCCCAAGCGATGCCCGCCTTCTCACTGACCTGCTCTGCTTTGATCAAAAGCAGTTTTCTTATTTCCTTGCCTCAAGGGATGCCGTGCCATACAGAAAGAGGGATGGATAGTCAGACGGACACAACGACCGGAAACAATGGCGGCGACTGTGTTGGGGGTTGCCCCGGCACCTGCGACTTAGGACGAGATATCTGCTTTATCAGATTAAGGCCGTGATTGGCAAACTGCTGTCACATTTTGGTATTCCTTTCTCTTTCCTGTTCCCAGAGCTCCTCAGGACCCCGCGCGTAATGAACAATTAACATCTACCTTTTCCTCCACAGACTAGGTTCGGCCGCATCCCCATTACCCAAATCGGCAGCGGGAGGAGCTAGAGAGCAATTTAAGGGGATCCGGCTTAGGGAAGCGGAGTGATACCAAGCTTTGCCTAGTGTCGCTTCTCTTCATGTCAGTGGGCTGCGCCCCTCCGCTCTGCCCGTATCAGGTACTGAACCGCGCAGGGGCTGAATCCCAATATGGAGAAAACAGCGCTGAACTGAGAGAAGCAGACAAATACTAAAGCGTATCGATATTAGTCTCCTTCTCGTAGGAGTTCCCCCTCCAAGCCTACCATTTTTTTTTTCCGAACTGAAATGCATACGGGTTTCAGGCTGCGGCGTTAGGAAATGAGTTCTAGCCTGCCAGGCGGACGGATACCAAAGTGCGCCAAGAATTACAGGGTCATCTCAACAATCCGGAGGCCCACCGAAGTGGGCGGACTAGGGGAGGGCCCGAGGTAGGAAAGTGGGCAAAGAGGGTCAAGACTGAGGTAGGAGGATAAATTTTAATTGATTGCATATGTTTTCTCTATGAGAGAAGCCCTTAATTTTCTACACAAAATGGGCAAGATCTTGGCAAGTCCTCTAGAAAACTGCTCAGGCTTGACTTGCAAATCAGTATCAAACACCCTAGTCTTTTCCTATTCCTCAAGCCTGAGTTTTTCGCCCTTATTGCCCAGCATATGTCTTGCATTGACATAGTCGAAGGAAAAGCAGAGATGAATGGAGAGAAGCACATTAGTACCAAACTACCCCTGTATGTATGTGTCCTATTCCCACAATATTCTCCCCACCTAAATAAATATGCACGGCTTGAATGTGGACATGAGGAAAATAATTCTGTGCTCATGGAAAAGTATTAATACCAAAATACCTTTGTACCCATGAACCACCTCCCTCCCCCCTTTTGTGGGCCCCTTTTCAGCCTGACCCACCATGTTTCCTGCCCCAAAAGTCTAGTTTAGAGGGGGTATCAGGACTGCAGGCTGGGAGGGGAGAGGTGATCTTAGGCCGCACTGTCCTGGGGCTCTAAGGTGGCCATCCCTTGCTTTTCCTTCACTGCTTCATGGAGCAGTGAGGTGACATAATCATCAGGGAAGTGCTTCTTGATTTATTGGCCATTGCCATTTCCTGGTTCATTTATTGCTGCCATTTTTGCTGTACCTCATATGGTGAAAGGGGTAAGGGATTTCTTTCAGGTTCTTTTATAAAGACACTAATCCCACTTATGAGGTCTAATAACCTCCCAAAGGCCCTTCTAATCACTTCCCAAAGTCTCCCCACCTAAAACCATCACCTTGGCTGTTAGGATTTCAACATATGAATCTGTAGGGGACAAGAACATTCAGACAATAGGATCCTATTAGTTTTCATGGTCTATTTTTCTCTAATTTGCATAGGTTTGGGGGATTAAATTAATTATATTAAAAAGTATTATTCCATTTCTTCTCTATTAGGTTGTTAGTTACACATTATTTTATTCTTTCAGTGATTGTCCTAGATTTTACAGCATGTATCTTTGACCTACTTGAATTTATGATAAATGAGTGGTTTTTTTTTATAGTACTCTCCTGTCAGTGTTGTGACTGTAGGACATTTTAACACTATTCACTTCCTTCAGCCTTTTCTGTTACTGTTTTAATGAAGTTTATTTCTATGTATTATTTAAACCCCCAAAACATTATTATTCTCTAATACAGTCAATATTTATTTAGATTTACCCACACTTTCATCTGTTGCAGTGATATTCATCCATCCCTGCATTTATTTATTTTTGTCTGAAATCATTTTTGTTTTGCTTCAATAACTCCTGTCTTTTGATGTGGATTTGCTGATGAATTCTTATTTTGTTTGTCTGAAAACTTTATTTAACATAATATATAAAGATTATTTTTGCTTGGCACAAAAAAATCATTTGTTTTTGCCACTTAATAATTTCATTCTATTATCTTTTTTTTTTTTAGAGTCTTGCTCTGTCACCTGGGCTAGAGTTCAATAGCATCATCATAGCTTTCTGCACTTGAAACTCCTGGGCTCAAGCAATCCTCCTCCCACAGCTAAGTGAGTAGTTGGGACTACAGGCACGTGCCACAATGCCTGCCTAATTGTTTCTATTTTTAGTAGAGACAGGGTCTCGCTGTTGCTTAGACTAGTCTCAGACTCCTGAGCTCAAGCACCTCCATTGTTTTTTGTTGTTGATGTTGTTGTTGTTGTTGTTGGAAACTTTGCTGGCAGTTTTGTTGGTTCTTCTTTGATGGTAATAGACTTTTGTCCTCTGACTGATTTTAAAATATTCTCTCTAGTATATGTTTTAGAAGTTTTATTAAGATGAGCCCAGATGTGTGTGTATGTGTGTGTGTGTGTGTGTGTGTGTGTGTGTGTGTTTATCCTACATAGATTTCATAGAGCTTCTTAAATATGTGTGTTGATTTTTTAAAATCAGTTCTGGAAAACCCTCATTAATTTCCCAATATTGCTTTTGCCCCATTCAATCCTCCTGCTCTCAACTCCCCAGTCTTCTGTGACTGCCGTTATGGCCTTGGCCTTGGTACACTTCTCTGAACTTTCCATCTTTTTTTTTTTTCTCCCTGTGCTTCTGCCTGGATATTTTTCTGATCTATTTTCAAGTTTACTAATCCTCTCTTCTCCTATATCTCTGCTGCTGCTAAATCCAATGAGATATTCATTTCAGCTATTATATCTTTCAATTTTAATTAACCTTCAGAGGGAGGTTTGGTCTTATATGAAATACTCTGTAATACCCAATATTTGATCTTCTTATTGAAATAAATATTACAGAAATTTTTAGAAATAAATAAAATGTGGCATGATTTTACTATAGCAAAATTTCAGAGATTTTTATTCTCTCTATACTATATTTATATTACTCACATATTTTAAATTATTTTCAACTCACATATTTTAAATTATTTTCAACCTTTTTAAATCTTTTTTTTAATTTCAGCATATTATGGGGGTACAAATGTTTAGGTTATGTATATTGCCCTTGCCTCCCCTTTCCTACCCCCGAGTCAGAGCTTCAAGCATCTCCATCCCCCAGATGGTACGTATCGCACTCATTATGTATGTATATACCATATGATATTGCAATTTTACAACCAGGATAATGGCAATGATAAAATCCCCTGGTCTTATTCAGATTTTTCCAGTTTTACTCGTTTGTGTATGTGTGTACATTTACATCAATGCAATTTTATCACTTACATAGGTTCACACATCTACAAAACAGTAAAGATACTTAACAGTTCATCACTACAAGTATTCTTCAGGTTTCCCTTTTATAACCATGCCTACTGCCCTCCTGCCACTCCATCCCTCACCACTTGTAACCACTAATCTGTTCTGCATCTCTATAATTTTGTCATTTTAAGAAAGTTCTATAACTGGAATCATAGACTATGGAATCTTTTGGTATTGGCTTTTTCACACAACATAATTCCCTAAAGATCCATCTAAGTTGTTGCTTATATCGATAGTTTGTTCCTTTTTGTTGTTGAGTAGTATTCTTTGGTATGGATGTACCACAGTTTATTTAACCATTCATCTATTGAATGACATCTGGGTTGTTTCCAGGTTTTTTGTCCCTTATGAATAAAGCTGCTATGAACATTTGTGTGCATATTCTTGTGTAAACAGATCTGGCTTCAGAAAAACTGGTCTGGGAAGCTGGAAGCTGTGCTCATAGTTGTCTGGAGATGGATTAGCAGAAAAGGGGTTAGGAGAAGGCTTGGGAAGCCTTTAGAGTGGTGAGGTCCTGGGGGCTTGAACTGCCTGCTCTCTCTAAGGTGCCGTTTCTACAGTGTGGACACATTTAGCAGACCCTGATGAGGGAAGAGGAGAGGGAAAGAAGAGAGGAGAGAGGAATCAATGAATGAAATGTAGATTCGAGGTCAACTGCTTATGAACTAGAGTATATTCACCTTCAGTCTTTTAAGATACATAGGAATTTCCTAAACAGAATTTGTATCATACTACATATACTGTTTCATAACTGCTTTAAAAATACCATTTATTTTCCCTTTGCAAAATTTATATCTTTTCAAGTAAAAAAATAAGAGACAAAGAAAAAGAGAGATAGGTATCTTGTGCTGATCAAATCCAGAATTACTATTCTGAAAGCCAAGACACCAAAGAGTTAGAAAATGATGAAATTGTCTTTGTTCCCTGATTTTTATTCCACAAATATTGCTATCTTTACAAATAACATCTTAGAAAATATCAATTTTTTTCTAGATGTTAGAAATATATTAGAATATCAGGAATAATAATAACTTTTTATGTGGTATTGACTAGTATTTGCCCAATGTACATTGTGTCATATGTTCTATATTTCCAATTTATAAGTTAATCTCACAAAAGACTGTGTAAAGAAATTTCCATTGAGAAAACTCTTTAAGGCTTAGGAGGGATGAATTTTCCATAAGCAGAAGGTATTTTTTTGGTGTCAATTTTATTGAGCTATAATTTACATATAACAACATTCATTCTTTTTAGTGTACAGTTCTTTGGGTTTATACAAATGCATGCCTTAATGTAACCACCACCACAATCAATACACAGAACATTTCCATCACTTCCCCAAAATTTCCTCATGTCTCTTGGAAGTCAACCTTTCTTATCCTCCGCAAGTTACCTCTGATCTGTTTCTGTGCTCATTGTTTTTCCTTTTGTAGAAATACGTATCAATAGTCTGAGGCATATTTAACAACCCAGTTG